CAATTAAAAAAAAAAAAAAAAAAAAAAAATTAAAAAGTGCTGCCAGCAGGATTCGAACTGTGGACCCTCAGATTGCAAGGCGAACGCTCTATGCACTACGCCACAGGCTCCGATAAAGTTGATTTCCGTAAACTAACAGTGTAGAAAAAAAAAAAGAAATGAAAACACGTGGATTTAAATAAAAATAGAAACGCGTGAAGTTTTAAATAGTACAGAAACACGTGTATTTATTTGTTTGTGATGGAACATAGGGAGGAATAATGAATAGTTCTAAGAAAAACGATTGGTGGATATTGAAAATGGAGATTTCCTGTAAAAAAAAAAAACATTCGAGTTTGTTTATAGTTTGAATAGATTGAGTTAATCATACAGAGCTTAAGATACATTCGAACTTCCGTGTCGGCACTGTGTTTACAATTTGTGAAAATATAGGCGCGTATGTTTTGACAGATATGGTGAACTCATAGGTTAGATTAAATAATCATCTCTATTTGGATTGAATTAATAGTTATGAGCATAAATTAAACTTGAAACATGCATTTCATGAAGAAAACGGTGTCAGCGAGAGCGTGGAAATTTATTTGATAGGAAAAATCCCTATTTTCGAGATTCATCCGATTAATATTAAACTGTTAAATCTAAATAAATTTCAAATAAATTCCACATTCTAAAGAGAGCAAGAATACTTGGTATTAAAATGTCGTATTAGAGCAGGAGAATCAAATGCTATTAACAAAAATTGAAGAAATAGCCAAGGCAAGCTTTAATTAATTTTTATGCTCATCAGCACTTAAATTTTAGACAAAAAAAAAATGTAGTTTTCGCCGATATTGAATAGAATTTCATCATACTTGAGAGACTCACCGTAAAACTCTCAGGACACTTTCTATGAAGTGTCTTCTACATTTTAATCTGAATTTCATGTCGATGTGTGATCTCCTTTAAGCTGTACAAAATTTGTTTACGTCACTATTGATTTTTTTTTTTTTTTTTTGAGAAAGAAGGGGGGGGGGGTATAAGCATTTGTTTAAGAGAGAGTTGTAAATACCTCCAAGACCTTAAGCTTGATTGTGACCTTTGGGTCAACGGGGTCAAAGGTCAAGGTCATTCATCAAGGTCAAAGGTCAAGGTCATCAAAAAAGAAAAACCCACTTACAGACTTGAGTTTTACACTTGAAGCTGAATCTAGGTACAGGTTATGAATACATGTATACCTTTTTAACTTTTGAGAAAAGGTCAAGGTCTAAGGTCAAGGTCAAGTATCAAGGTCAAGGGTCAAGGTCATTTTATTAAAAACCCGTAAATAAGCAATTTTGATACTTCCCAATGACCTTGACCTTTGATCTTGACCTAATCTTCAAGGTCAAAGGTAAAAAGATCTGATGCAGTTGGACCCATGTCTTTACGACTTGTCATTAAGAAGTTTTTACTTCTTCGTAAACATCATAAACTTGCAGGGGCAATAACTACTTAAAACGGTTTACGAATTCTTTCGCACTAATAGAATGAGAAGTGTACTAAATTAGTCGCAGACATTGTTGAAGGTTTTGTACCTCTACGGTTTACGGTTTCGGAGGAGTAGCGATAACAAGGGTTTACACTGAAAGGGGCACTAACTTTTAGAGGGTTCAGTCTTAGGGGACAAGCATGGAATCTCTGAAATGGGTTTAAGAGTACATACTAAAAATACAAAGATGTTTAGAATTTGGTTAAGAACAAAAGAGCTATTAAAAATGCTTAATTTTACATATTTTGAATGACCTTGACCTTTGACCTTGACCTAGATTTTAAGGTCAAAGGTCAAGAAATCTTTTGCAGTTGGTCCCATGTCTCTACGCCTTGTCATTTAAGAAAAGATCTTGATATTCGTAAACGTTGCAAACATTCAGGGGCAATAATTCAATATAGGAGTTTACGAATCCTTTCGCAATGTTTGATTGGAGAGTCTACTAAATCAGTCATAAACATTAATAAAGGTTTGGAATCTCTGCGGTTTATGGTTTTGGAGGAGTAGCGATAACAAGCTTTTATTGCAAAAGGGGTTGTAACTCCGAAAGGGGTCAAAGCTCATATACGCAGGGTCAACTGCTAAAATCTTTTACGGAGTACATTCTTGTCGACTAAAAATCTTTTCGATAAATCTTGAAACTCAAAATCACACGGCGGAAAAATAATAAAAAAGAAAAAAAAAACAGAAGAAAATCAATAGGTCTTTCCAGAGAAAGCTGGAAAGACCTAATAAACACTAGGAGACTTATTGTTCACAGAACAATAAGAGGTCTTTCCAGCTTTTTAAGTGTTTCCGTGTCATTTGGGTTGAAAAAAAGAAGAAAAACGCCAATTAAAAAAAAAAAAAAAAAAATTAAAAAGTGCTGCCAGCAGGATTCGAACTGTGGACCCTCAGATTGCAAGGCGAACGCTCTATGCACTACGCCACAGGCTCCGATGAAGTTGTTTTCCGTAAACTAACAGTGTAGAAAAAAAAAAGAAATGAAAACACGTGGATTTAAATAAAAATAGAAACGCGTGAAGTTTTAAATAGTACAGAAACACGTGTATTTATTTGTTTGTGATGGAACATAGGGAGGAATAATGAATAGTTCTAAGAAAAACGATTGGTGGATATTGAAAATGGAGATTTCCTGTAAAAAAAAAAAAACATTCGAGTTTGTTTATAGTTTGAATAGATTGAGTTAATCATACAGAGCTTAAGATACATTCGAACTTCCGTGTCGGCACTGTGTTTACAATTTGTGAAAATATAGGCGCGTATGTTTTGACAGATATGGTGAACTCATAGGTTAGATTAAATAATCATCTCTATTTGGATTGAATTAATAGTTATGAGCATAAATTAAACTTGAAACATGCATTTCATGAAGAAAACGGTGTCAGCGAGAGCGTGGAAATTTATTTGATAGGAAAAATCCCTATTTTCGAGATTCATCCGATTAATATTAAACTGTTAAATCTAAATAAATTTCAAATAAATTCCACATTCTAAAGAGAGCAAGAATACTTGGTATTAAAATGTCGTATTAGAGCAGGAGAATCAAATGCTATTAACAAAAATTGAAGAAATAGCCAAGGCAAGCTTTAATTAATTTTTATGCTCATCAGCACTTAAATTTTAGACAAAAAAAAAATGTAGTTTTCGCCGATATTGAATAGAATTTCATCATACTTGAGAGACTCACCGTAAAACTCTCAGGACACTTTCTATGAAGTGTCTTCTACATTTTAATCTGAATTTCATGTCGATGTGTGATCTCCTTTAAGCTGTACAAAATTTGTTTACGTCACTATTGATTTTTTTTTTTTTTGAGAAAGAAGGGGGGGGGGTATAAGCATTTGTTTAAGAGAGAGTTGTAAATACCTCCAAGACCTTAAGCTTGATTGTGACCTTTGGGTCAATGGGGTCAAAGGTCAAGGTCATTCATCAAGGTCAAAGGTCAAGGTCATCAAAAAAGAAAAACCCACTTACAGACTTGAGTTTTACACTTGAAGCTGAATCTAGGTACAGGTTATGAATACATGTATACCTTTTTAACTTTTGAGAAAAGGTCAAGGTCTAAGGTCAAGGTCAAGTATCAAGGTCAAGGTCAAGTATCAAGGTCAAAGGTCAAGGTCATTTTATTAAAAACCCGTAAATAAGCAATTTTGATACTTCCCAATGACCTTGACCTTTGACCTTCACCTAATCTTCAAGGTCAAAGGTAAAAAGATCTGATGCAGTTGGACCCATGTCTTTACGACTTGTCATTAAGAAGTTTTTACTTCTTCGTAAACATCATAAACTTGCAGGGGCAATAACTACTTAAAACGGTTTACGAATTCTTTCGCACTAATAGAATGAGAAGTGTACTAAATTAGTCGCAGACATTGTTGAAGGTTTTGTACCTCTACGGTTTACGGTTTCGGAGGAGTAGCGATAACAAGGGTTTACACTGAAAGGGGCACTAACTTTTAGAGGGTTCAGTCTTAGGGGACAAGCATGGAATCTCTGAAATGGGTTTAAGAGTACATACTAAAAATACAAAGATGTTTAGAATTTGGTTAAGAACAAAAGAGCTATTAAAAATGCTTAATTTTACATATTTTGAATGACCTTGACCTTTGACCTTGACCTAGATTTTAAGGTCAAAGGTCAAGAAATCTTTTGCAGTTGGTCCCATGTCTCTACGCCTTGTCATTTAAGAAAAGATCTTGATATTCGTAAACGTTGCAAACATTCAGGGGCAATAATTCAATATAGGAGTTTACGAATCCTTTCACAATGTTTGATTGGAGAGTCTACTAAATCAGTCGTAAACATTAATAAAGGTTTGGAATCTCTGCGGTTTATGGTTTTGGAGGAGTAGCGATAACAAGCTTTTATTGCAAAAGGGGTCGTAACTCCGAAAGGGGTCAAAGCTCATATACGCAGGGTCAACTGCTAAAATCTTTTACGGAGTACATTCTTGTCGACTAAAAATCTTTTCGATAAATCTTGAAACTCAAAATCACACGGCGGAAAAATAATAAAAAAGAAAAAAAAAAACAGAAGAAAATCAATAGGTCTTTCCAGAGAAAGCTGGAAAGACCTAATGAAAAATTGCCACAAGGCCTTTCTCTAAAAATTGATGAAGCCTTTTCAAAGTGTACATTTTGAAAGTTTAATTATGGAGGAAACTGTTTATTATAATTTTAGTTTCTCTGTCAGTCCACTTGGCTGATTAAAACTTTTCTTTATAAGCAATTAATCTTAAAGATCCTTTAGATTATTAAGCTTATTCATTTATTTTAATAATTCTACTTGAGTGTCTGGTTTTGTGCCTTTAGTTTCTCAAACATTCATGAATTTACAATACACACATGTGTTTAATTTCACTCACACCATTTAATGTGCATTATTTAACTTTTAAGGTAACGTATATCGATCCAAATTATTTCTATGATATTGATATTGATTTAATTTATTATATATTGTAGATTATAATGACGGATTAATTCTTTTTTAGCTTTGCATCGAAGCAAATGTACCTTTTAGGAATACAGCAGATATTGCTATAGATGACATCCGGATAAAAATTAATCAAAACGGTGAGAGACACAAATCTCAATTAACAATGACAATTGACATGTATAATATGTTTTAAAAATCACAAAAAAATTTTTTAATTGGGTCGTTTTCATCTCTTGAAATTTCATTTGTTTTGTTTTTATATTTCTTCATAGAATCAATGACTTTTAGATTAAATTTTTAATTAGAATTCAAAAATACATGGAGGAACTTTAATGAGAAATGCCTTAGAAATTTGGGTTCTTACTCCGGTATTGGCAAGTTAACCAGCACAAACTGTATTTATAACGATCGGGAGAGGTGGACTGGTATCATTCGGACACAGAGAAAAGGTTCAGACCTAAGTGGTACGTCACAGGATAAATGAACCCAATAAATATTGTCACCTTAAGTTAACTGAAGGAAAACGTACTCTGTTTCTACGTGTTTTTCTGTCTACCTGAAATATTTGTCATATATTAATTATAAATTTAGAAATACATCAATTTTGATTATAAAAAGGCTATTGATAAAACAATATATATATAAATATTTTTGATTCGTAGGTTTATTTTTTTTTTTCAAAAGTTTTAAATTAAATTAATTTAAATATATTTGTTATCATAGTAAAATATGAAAGACTTTGTTTGGAAAACTAATTGAATGATTCATTTTTCAGCTCTAAGGAGAATCCCCAATGCCCTGATGTCATTTGAGTACAAATATGGCATGTATTCCTACTTTTGGGAAACGTTTAACAAAAATAAAACTAGGACTTTTGTTTGTGAGAGTAAGTTGTAAATCCTTCATTCTAATAAATGTAATTTTTTCATAGTAATTTTACCTTACATTTGTACTTAAAATAACAACACAGAATGATTCATCAAAAACTGAAAATTTGGCAGGACTTTTCATAATTTGAATATAAAGAAGATATTTGTTTGATCATTTGAGAGAAGCTAAGGTTTGTGTAATCGTATATCTTTTTTTAATGTTTGAAAATATTATCTTTTGCATTATCACATCCTCAGTAATGAAACCTAGTAGCTAATTCATCTAAAAAAGTAACTTTTGGTAACAGCGTTATCAAAAATGCTGCAATAGATAGAGTGAAACTCCTCCATTTGCTACTGCGTTACAAAAAGGGACTATAGGAAAATTTAGAAAACTCCATATATTGTGGGTGGATATGAAATTTATTTCACTTAAAAGCAAAAATTGTTTTATTGGACTTTATACTGGTGAAATGGCAAAACCTCTGCCCCATTCTTGAATAAAATTCATTTTCAACCCTTAAACGTTGATTTTTCTCTATCTAAGTAGGACGAAACTCACCAGAGCAGTATGAAAAGTGTCTTGTGTATTCAGAAGTTGGTAACGACATACCTGATATCAATAAAAGAGAAACTGCTCTCACTAATGGTAAGATGAATTTCTAGACATATCCACGTAAAGTAGTAAAAATAGTCGTGAATAATTTATTATTATAAAAATCTCTTTGACAATATTGAAGAAGTGTAATTTATGATCTTATAATTGTCTTCAAACTTTTATTTATAATCTTGTAGATACCCTTACCTTTACATTAGTTGCTGTGATTTCTTTTGTCTTGGTTTTGATAATATGTGCATTAGTCGTATTCATGTTATACAAACGGTAAGTTATTTTATCATTATCCTGGTCATTATATATTTAAGTTGTTTTCGGATACAACTTCAGAATTGTAATTTGCTATACTCAAACTATCTAGTATAATCTACACTAATTAGATCCTAGTAGATGAGAATATGTAACTATTCAACTTGCAGATTATGATTTGATTTATTGCACAATTTAGTCTTTAAAGATACTCTCAATATGCAGATTGTACATAAAAATAATACAAAATTCTTTAATTATGTCGCTCAAGAAAAAACATGATTAAATCTACGGCCTACATGTGGATAAATGATTTGGAATAATTTAATTGTTCATTGTAAGATATCTTTTGCTTATAAAATCAACCGTCAAGAATTAATCTTGTCAAATGACACGTCCAGGTTTTAATTAATTACACCTCCGCAAGAGCCCGTGATATGGTTGGATTCAATATTTTTCGAATTCAACGTCAACTCATTGTTAAGCAATCCGTTTGTCCATACCTATGTCTGTCTTAGTTTACTAAGCAACTACTCATTGCAGATGCTGGAAATATTAGCACTTTCTTTGTTTAGGCAATTTAACTTGTGTATATGCACATGAAAACGTCTATTCACATGGGAGCGGGAATATACATGTAATTCGTCATGGCATCTGATCCCACCTCTGATGTGTTGGAGGTCCGTGTTTGCTTTGCTCCATTTTTGTATTATTGCCTAATGGTCTTTAGAGCTTTTATACTGTTTGTAATTTCAATATGCACTATTAAGCATTAGCTCACAGAGTTTTTGTTTTATATTTCTATATATAAGTTAACATGTATTTAAATAATGTCTTCACATTACTTGAGGTAAAAATAAGCAACTTTCTTAAAGAAGTTAAATGATTTTGTTGCGTATAAAATAATATTATTTCAATTATTTTAACCATTAAATAAATCAAAAAATGTACATTCTTCTGAATAATAACTTAAGTATATCATCTTTAAATTTCCCTTTCAATCTGACACAATGTCTTATAAGTTTTTTTTATTTGATAGGAAATTAGCAGTGAAAGTACAATATGAACAACAATACAACTCTTCAACAAAAGAACAAGTAAACTTTATGTACATGAACTCGGACGACATCCTCATTATACAAAATAAACCTTCAACAAGAATCAACTCCGAAAAACATAGCACCAAGCAAATAACTGACCATGAAAATACAGAGGAGCTAGACTTGAACGAAATATATGTTAATGAAAAACCTGTTATACTTAGATCACGACCAGAGTCAACTAAAAATGTTAACGATAAAGTTGAAATACCGGAAGAGGACTACGATCATCTCAGTAGGAATACCAATGATGCGGCACTAGTACAGGAAGACACTTACAGTCACATGGCAGACGATCAATACGGTACACAACAGATTCAGTGTGAGGATACATATGATCATACAGGGGGAACCGAGGGCGAGTACGGAGCAGCACAGATTGATCAGGATGTAAACAATATGTATGATCATACAGTACTCAATTATACAGATGACGTTTACAGTCTTCCAAATAAGGGCACATGTCATACTGAAACTGTGTATAATATTGTAAAAAAGACATGTGGTACCGATTAAGTATTCAAAAAATTAGATTAATGTATGTGCTTGTTTTAAAAGCAAACAGTTATCTGAACTATGTCAATGGTATTGTATATCTTAGAAATCCCTCTACAGTATCAAATTATAATTTGTACACAGTTTATTGAGATAAATGAGTTCCTATAAATTCAATTAATGATTGGATTATTCGTTTTAGTGAAGAAAGGCTGATGATTAAAAATGATACTTGTCATCTTGCCCAGTGAAAGCAAGTTTGAAGAGATATGTATTTTTAATTAAGCAATTTGCTATCATAGACCTCGAGTTAGCACTTTGAAAAATAGTTGAATATTTGAACAATGATACATTGTATAAGTATTAAATACCTAAGATATCGTGTACTTTAGATTTTAAACATATAAGATATGACAAAAAGGATGCACCCATTCTCTATCCACC